GATGGCCTGATGGTATGATGGCCTGATGGTTTGATGGCCTGATGGTCTGTTGGTTTGGTCTGATGGTCGAATGACCTGTCGTATTTTGAGACGCCTATTTTTTTACGGTTTGATTATGGTGGTTTCATGGCTAATTTGAAACAGTTCGAGTTGGCCACAACTTAAAAAACACAACAATATGTGAATGCAAAATCTGGAAACTTAATTATGCCATGCCTGGAGCATGACGAGGTGCATATCCCACTTAGAATTTAATTATATTGTCCACTGCACACTGGTAATCGCCAGCCCGACATTTGAGTACGGCGAATGCGGCTACTAATAAGAATAAAGTCAAACAAGCTGCATTGCTTTGATGTTTTTATTATGAAGTTATGAAATCATACATTGTTTCGCTGGGCGGAATGGCTAGGTAGTACAGAAAAACCAGAAACATTTGAGGAAGTACTATTGTGACCAATATTAGTTGAAGCGCCATGACGCATGGCGTGTGGTACTATCAGAGCCACCTGTCGGATTTTCAGTGAACCTCTGTGTTTGCTGAGGTTTAGGCAGGTTGCTTCTTGCACTCATTGTGCCACTATGAGCTGAAAATTGACACGGAACGGCACAGTGGTGCAACGAGCACAAGTGATTTGTTTCTACCTCAACGCATACCAAGGTTTGCTGAACAATCTGAGAGACAACTCTCATCGCGTGCCACGTGCAGTGGCGTTTCAGTTCATATTGGCTGCGATAGTACATCTGTTCCATTTCAAAAGTATTGGCAATATATAAATTAAGCTAAATTAATATGAAGAAAAGGGTAAAAAGGCTACAACATGAGGTGCAAGCTAAGGCAGACATGCAACAGCATGGGCAGTCCGTGGTGGGACCACGTAGGGAGCCTTCATGTGCGCTTTGCTAGGGTGATGCCACCCTTTGTAATACCACTCGCCGACAAACCAGCAGCCATTTTGTTCCTCGGCGATAATCCGTGGGGCTTATAACCCTCCCGGAAACAAGCACCTTATCTCAGAATTTCGGAGCAGCGTTGTGGAACCCACGGAGGGAGGATTAGCATTTTCCCCTAGGATGGGATTACCGATGGACACAAAGACCACTTTCTGGCGCACGGGGAAACAATGAGAGAAACAAAATGGCGGTGGAAGAGTGTGTGGGAAAGGGAAACAGGCAGTTGGCATCACTCTATGCGTAGCGCACATGAAGGCACTCTAGGACCACGCATTGGGGGAGGACAGGCAGCAAAGGGATGAGCCTGGACATGTCAAGGGCAATTCAGAGATCAGCAATGAGTCCAAACACAGGACGACCATTGACATACGTAAACGGCAGAGTGGGCCTAGAGACGACTAAGGGGCAGTAAGAGTGACGTGCTTCATTGTAATTGTGTGACCATGCAACTTTTTGGAGAGTGAGCGAGCACGGCCTGATGGGATGGCAGTAGCGACCAAGCAACCCACAACCTTTTTCAAGTGGTCAGCTGATCAACAGACTACTTTAAAGTTGTTTGCATAAACATTTAGATATATGAACCTCTAAATAATTTATCTATACCATCATTTAAAATAATTGCTTGTAAACTTGAGACCCAAAATAGTATATTACTTAATTAAGGAAGTTAGAGTATAGATGCACATACCTATGTAGTGATTTCTCTTGAGATTGGACAGCTTTTCTGACAGGTACCGCCGTATCTTCTGGTGCCGGGCTGCCCTTTCAGCCTGGCGGTACCTTTCTCCCTCAGGTGTAGTCAAAAGCAGCCTGGAATATTGAAATTCCAGGGTAATTATTTTTTGCAGAGCTCAGACTTAAAACAATATAGAACGTCATAAATACAGGCTGGAGGGTCATAGTTTGAGAAGACCAAGGGTAAATTAGTCTCAAATATAAGCAATTAAGTGGCAGCTGGCACCTGACAAACCTTCAACGTTTCTTAGTATTTACAGTGTTCAGAGATCACTATGAAAGCAAAAGTACCGCAGTATCCTGATTTATGTTCCACTCCCAATAGACAGCTCACCCTGGCTTCTGTTAGATTCTTTTAAGCACAAAACAGGTAGCCCATGTCTATAAATCTCACTGCTAGGCTAGTGACCTTGTAAGAAATAGGAGCTACAACTGTAGATAAGTAGACAATGTACGTTGGAAACTGCTTATACTTGGTTATCATCCCTCGCTGTGGTAACAGCTTAGACACACCACAGAATTAAAAAAATAGCATCACGAGCACCAGAAAGAACAATGCAGTTCTATATAAAAACAATCTTTCACATTCCTTGAAAGATCTTCCATTCATAGCCTGGCTCTAAATTTAAAGGTAATTAAACAGTCTTTCAATGTGCACCTGGTGGAGGCCTCTGAAGCTTCGTTGGGAGGTAATCTAGCAATGTTGGGGATCTTGAACGTAGTCGTGACATGGCAAAAACCGCTATGTAGCTGCACTACACATCGGAGCAGCGCCGCTGTTTGGAGGTATACTCAACTATTGGAGTTATCTCGCCCTGAACGCGATGACCTTGACATTACTTATCTCACACATAGGCGCTTAGACGGCTTAGTCCGCTTTGGTCCACGTAAAGCCCACAGGTGTTTCAAATGGCTAGGCTGTAACACGTCTACACCACCACTATGCACCCGAACGGCACAGCTCGTAGCCACGCCAGCTTTGCCGGATAGCCCACGACGCATCGAGCTCTCCGTTGACTTCTCTTTGAGCACTTGCTCGAGTTTGTTGCTTAGAACGAAAAATAAAATTATCTGTTCAAAATACAAATGTGCGATTATTTACGGTTATTATCTGTTATGATTGACTCATTCTTGGCGGGGTACCCCCATCACATGTCCAGGTGTTAGCAGACAACCTACTAGAGTAAAATCTCGGTGATACTAACTGGAACGAATTTTGGAATAAAACAAATTCACAAATTCCCCGGCCGAAGTGCATTGTGTAAGACGTGAAAATTCTTGGGTGTTCCGAATTCCTCTACGCGCTGCGACGGCTGATACGAATGTGTGCTCCACAACTGATAGTGGCAAGGAGGCCACGATCGGCGACTGTAAGCTTTCAAGGCTCTGGGCGGCTGATTGCCTGCTGCTGCCAGGGATCAGCCGCACATTACCCAAAAACTGGAGCTCAAAATTACACGCATGTTACAATCGGACCTACAAACCAAAACTAAACAAAATGCTAAAAAAACTGTGCAAAGTCGCCAGCCCCATCACCATCAACACATGTTTAAAATCCAATCCAATCTGAATCCAAAATCGCTTTTTTGTTTTTGCGATCTCGTGGAATGGTGTTTCAGCCTTGGAAAAGCAAAACCGATCTTACTATAAGGTTACGTCTAAAAAACAAAGTAACTGCGTTGGCAAAAACAAAAAACCGAGTGATGCTGGTGGTGTCTTCGGTGTGGTTCACGTTGACATGCGAACTTGGTTGGAAAGAGAAAGAAACCGAATTTTTGCTTGCAAGTTTTTGATGTAGGGCTTCAACAGCACATAGTGTAGGCACTTTCCGAGTATGTGCATTTGATAAAATGTTTTCCACAAAATGTATGTTGTTCAGCCGTCATTATTTTATCTGCGAAGTAGAATCGACATTTATCTGCGCAGTAGAATCGACATTAATTCATTTTTTCAACATTCGTGGGTTGATTATAACCGTGTGTTACTATCGGGGGCGTGTTAGAATCGTGTAAATTGCATACAAGATATTTTCTGCCATAAATAAATGCACATTCATGCATTACTTGTGTTTCAAAATATAAATTTTGTTTTGCTTTCGTTGATACGAATTTAGCATGAAATATTTTACGCGACTCCGCGAGATTCATATCAAGATTTTAAAAATGTTCGCTTAATGAGAGAGCCTGCACCTTGCGCTGAGTGAGCGGGGCAAACACCTTCTCTTGCCTCGCTGCCTTTGCCTTGTTGGAGAAGGTGCCGGTCACCAACCTCTCCTAAAGCACTTCCACTCACCCTATGGAAGCAGCAGTGATCTTGCAAAACATGGAGTCGCACTCTGCTTTCCGCATGTTGCCCGCATTCCTGGTTGACGTGCACACCTTGCCCGACATGCATCTGTTATAAACAAAAGCGAGAAACAGCTTCACATATACCAGCCGTTGACGTAGAGTGGTACCGTATACTCCAAGATGCGTTGAAAATGCACTAAAATAAGTACATTAATGAAATTTAGGCCTTTAAATTTAAGACAGCACTACACATGAATTCCTATCTTCATGGGCGTCTGCGAAGCTGATGGGCCTACAAAGCTTCATGGCATCTGCATGAAACAGCTACATAATCCCTTAGTTGCATCAGGTGAGCATGACAACAGAATGTCTTCCAGGCACTGGCTGTAACTACAATTAAGAGCCTGGCTACAATAATGTTTTAATGACTTCTTGTTGCAATCGGTTCAATCTACTGTGCTTACATTATCTCAGGAGTGGCCAAAGCGAGGCTCGCGAGCCGCACGCGGCTCTTTGCGGGTCCAATTTCAGCTCGCGGCTCCCTGGAAAACGTGTCCCCAAGACGAAAAGGGTTCTAGAATTTAGAAAGAGCTACAAGTCTTGGCAGCCTGGCAACACACTACATATATACACCTGGAATGCTTTTTGCCACATAGATGCGTCGAGTGACCCTGTTTCCTTTATTGTTCTAGAAAGACTTTCAACCGTATACGCATAACAGTTGTCAGGGGCAGTGACTGGCTAGTGAATCGTGTATTAATTTTTGCTTAGCAGTGGAAAGGACCTTCTGATGCATAGTGTCATTTGTTGTTATCGCCCATTATACTTGTCCTCTATGGAAATAACTGTTCCCTCCATATTGTTTCTTGTTAAAAGTAGCCCCCTCCCCCTTTCTTTTTTCCAGCGACTCTAAACTTTCGTAGTTTTGTCTGCGGCTCTAACTCCATGTCACTCTGGCCACACCTGCACTATCCTAAACTCTTTTAATGTATATTATACACTGAATGAAAGTGAAAAGTTTTTCTATTTTACCATTACTTCCTTTTCTGGAGGCCGATGCTAGGATCCACAATCTCATTCTTTGCAAGGATGTCCTCGTCAGCAACTGAAAAAAACAATTTCACATTAAAGAGATACAGAAACCAAATTCCAGCGCTCATTTTATCGCTTTAATGAGTTGCAGGTTGCAACATAACCTCAAAAATACCAGTCCTTTGCTGAAGGGCACAAGCAAACTAATTTTAAAGCTAATCAAACAATCTTTCAATGTGCACCTGGTGGATGCATGTGGAGCCTATTTGGGAGGTAATCTAGCAACATTGGGGAACTTGCTACGTATTCATGACGTAGGAAGGACATTCCTCGGTCATTCTGCTCAGCAACAGAGCGCAGCCACAACAGTAGAGTTGAGAGCTCTTTGCCGTTTATGCCTTCTTTCTCAGCATTATTGTTTCCACCCTTTATGAATGAATATCCTCTATGCAAGATATAAGCCATGTGTTGCATATGACATGTTCGGCTCTATCACCGCACAGCAAACTTCTTTCATATACTGCAGGTTCATTAAAAAAGTTACCTTTTTAATGCTAAAGCATGGGTTCTGTTAGTACGGTAAACATACGAGTACCCAGAGGTCAGGCCATAAATGACTCACGTGTTAGGCAGTAGGGCCCTACAGCACCTCCCGCATCAACAGCCGAGCCGCAGGTAGTCCTGCTATTGATAGAGCAGGGTAAGTCAGAGAAAGGTGTATCTAGCAGCTCTGCCGGTGTGACCCCTAGCAGCATTACTCACGCACATAGGGGTGTAGGCAGAAAGCATGGCATTCCTCATCAACAAATCATGACAACACATTGTTACCGGCATCAAACTGGATCCCTGTGCTATTTTTCTTTTTTTTTTTGTGAATTAGTTGATTCTTTGTCTTCCTTGTCACTCCCGACTGCTTTACAAGCCTTTGTGAAATAAAGAAGGCTTGGTAAACTGCAAAGCCTTGACTGAGTGGTGAAAGAGAGCAATCCCAAGGAAGTATAAATGTTAAGGACTCGACATGACATTACGCAGTGTTGGGATTCCCAAGCTGCTTTCCAAACTCACATTTTGTGCACGACCAGCTCTCTTTCTGCATCAGTTGGATTGGTCAGTTGTGTGCCCGTTTCGGTCGCTGCTAGCCATATGTGGCTGGCGCTGCTTTTGAGAGCCTTGCAACATCGTCACTTTCAGCTTTTGTCCTGACATAAACCGCATCTAAAAATTTAATTAGCGCTAAGATTTAGCTTTTGGACACTCCCAGAAAAAATAGGATGTACCACATTACATAGACAGGTAATGATATTCTGGTGACAAAATTTCCACAAAAACTGCTTTGCGTTAGAGGGCACAAGGGCTGACGTTCCTGGGAGGAGCAGCTTTGTGTGAACTTGCAGATGCTTCAGCTGCCTGTTTGCGCCTGGCCAGTTCAGTTGCCATTTCCTCTTGGGTTTCTTGTAGGTACAGTCGGGGACAAAAGTCTCCAGGTCACGCAAGCTGCGACTGAAACGCATTCCTCTGCCATCTGCCGGCGGGTCGCCTGGTTTCGAGATCACAGAAGGGCGCAGGTGCGTCCTATTGTACCTGCCAACGTGTGCGCTTTCCCGCTTTGCTGCGGCGCGGCACCTAACTCGGAATCGGGCGCGTGGTACCACTTCGAAGATAGTGCTTACTGACATGGCATCTATAAAGCAAGAAGTCACGGCAGCTCAATTAAGCGATAAGCTGAACTGGTTATAAACCAAGGTGCGCTGACACGACGAAATGCGGCGCAATGCCCCAGGCGGTATCTCGAGTTTTGGAATGTATAGCAGACGCTCGTCAGCCGCCAGCGCTATCTCCGAGGCAGTACCATGTGCCCGATTCCTAGTTAGGTGCTGTGCTGCAGAAGAGCAGGAAACGCACATGTTTGCAGGCAGAGTAGGACGCGCGCGCGCTTTTGTGTGATCTCGAAACCAGGCGACCCGCCGGCAGGTGGCAGAGCAATGGGTTTCAGCCGCAGCTAGCACGTCCTGGGGACTTTTGTCCCGACTGTACATTTGTGATCAAGAATAAATAAATTGGTCAGGAAGCAATGGCAGCTGATGCAACATCAATGCAAGCCATGTATTATATGACTCGCATGAATTGACATTGAATCAGCCACGATTGTGCGCCTAAGTTTGTGCTGCGGAGCGCAAGAGTTTGGCGCTCTGTTCATTAAATGGACAGAAGCGCCACCAAAGTACTGACACTCAAGCGTGCTCTTTTTGCACCGAGTATTTCTCGAAGTGCAAGTCATTTCTTCGCGCTGACAGAAACGTCGCCGAGACGAGGAGTGCAGTGGATCGCTGCCTCATTTCAGTTGAAGAATGCTTAACCCAGCGAGTAAAATGATTTGATTTTAAAGCCAGGACCATTACGGAAAAGGTTTGTTCCCGAATCTCACCTGAAAACGAATTACCCATCGAACAGTAGCATTATGATGGTACAGCGACAGAAAAGTTGTCGAGATGAGAGGACAGTCCGGTCGCTGCCCTTTGTAGAATGCACAGCCCTGCGAATAAAGATAGTTCGATTGGAAAGCGAAAACGTTGCGGAAAAAGTTTGTCCATGCGTCTCGCCTGAGAACTAATTAATGTGCTATTTATTGAACGGTGGTGTGCCAGTATTGGAGTAGCACATCCACAGGTTCCGTCTCGCGCTGGAAGACGGAAACCCAAGATATCTGACAAGTTTGAGAGTTTCTTGTTTTGACAAGCGAGTTCAAGAATGCTGTCTTTCATTTGAATCTAAACAGCATGCATGGTCAATAAATAGATCGGTCAAAGTAACATTCAGCATATCTGGTCGAAGCGAGTCTTCAAACCTTTCACAAATATTAAAACATTCGTAAAAATTTCCTAACGTCGCCGCGCATTTCTTTTCTTTTTTTTTTTTGGGGGGGGGGGGGGCTTTTCCTTTTATTTCACCATTTTACAGAGCCCTTAATTAATTTTATCTTCAAAATAATTTTGGCATCCGCGAGATGCTGGGTTCGTCGTAAAACTGCGGTCGGAAGTGGCTCATACAGCTCGCCGACAGCTTCGGTGTGTTGCGCTACTGAACGCTATGCTTCGTTTAGTTGCTGCGCTCGGTGTGTGAAACTCGGAACGGTGGAGTACGAGTAAATTAGCGCGGACTTAAGGCACAGGAGCAATGGCGGCTTGTAGGGTGCCATATGATGTCACGTGCAAGGCAGTTTAGTCCACACGCTCAACTGAAGTATTAGCCCATGCATTCATCTGCCTAGCTTGGTGCCCCATCTAAGCAGTCTACAATATTCACTTTTAATTACAGTCGCAATAAAAAAGAAAGAAAACGGCGATTGCTTGTGGCTACGTCGCACTTTGTGATGGTAAAAAATACACACTCACCCGTCAGTTCGAGGATCTCGGCGTCGTAATAGCCTCCTCGAGTGTTCGCGTCACCGTCCCAAGACACCTTGTACGCCGTCCTACGCTCGAAGTCGACCACATTCGAAGGATTGCAGTTTTTAAATAAAGCCCTGTGGACGTCGCTTATTTCTCCGTTCTCGCAAAATCGAGTGAAACCTACCGAAATATCTAAAACCTCGAAAACACTCCACGAGGAAGGGTGAGGCAGCCGAGGCAACAAAGCGCACGAAACAACTGGATTTGGATTTGGATTCGAAGCTTTTGAAGACGCAGTTGCTCGAACGGATATAAGCGGCGAACGTCTTTCAAAATATAAAGTATACATTAAAATTAACGGATCGTCGAGTGTCGAACACTGCGTATGAACTTGAATGAGAACATTTTTTAGAGAAATCTGTCAAGTGTCAACACTGCGTGTAAAGAAACTGGCGCCGCAAGTAGCCGATGCGTCGGCAGTAGCCGATACATTAAAGACTAAGACATAAATTACGCGACCCTCGACAGTCCTCCGCCCGTGGCGCAGGGGTAGCGCTTCGGCATACGGAACGGCAGGTCGCTGGTTCGATTCCCCCGGGCGAAAGAAGAAATTTTTTTTTTTGTGTGTTTTTTTTTTTTTTTTTTATTATATCTATTATGGTGGCGGTGGTGTTGAAAACTTTAATTCAGTCTAAAACCCCTGAAGCTGCTTCGTTAACGACCGCCCTGGTCCAAAAGGGTTCTAGTGCAGCTGAATACTGAATAATGCAGGTTTTTCTACCTTTCGTGTCGCCGGTTTTAGCACCTTTCGTGACTCGACGTGTTTCCGCTCAAGAACTTTTGAGGTCGTCTGAACGACGAGACATATAAGGCCTTTCCTTAATAAAAAAAATCACATCAACCTATTGACCACGCGGCTGCGGCCCATCATATATCATACGCGAGATTCAACGACAGCTTTTTTTATCGCGACATAGCCTCAAATCGCCTATTTTGTAGAGTGCAAAGTTGCGGAGCCTCCTCGACTTTGGGCCGCTCATTCAGCGAGGCGGTGGCGCATTCCTCCGACTATTTAACCTTCGAGCAAAGTAAAGCAAAGCAATGGCCGCGCGGTCTGTTTGGAAGCTGAACTTAATTGCCACCGCGACCGTCCCATGCGCACAACGGTTGCGGGGCTCGGGGGGTGCCGTGTCTATAAATATTAATGTGTCGACGAAAAGTCTGTCCACCTTCCGTTGGTAATGAAAGGCGTAGATGAAGCATATGCGAAACGATGAACCCTACCGTGAGTACGGGTTTCCACGGTGCGTGATTGCAGACGAACGCACAGTTGCCGGTGAATCGGGGACTCAGTGAGTAAAGACAAATCGCGTGACATAGTTGTGTCAGCACCTCGCGAGCCCGCGACTCATCACATGCTGGCAAATATGTCGCGACCCATATATCAATTGTTATTAAACGCCTCTGACGGCGCCGTCAGAATACCGCGAGCAACAATTAATCAAGCACTTTTGATAAACATTGTGCGCAAAGAAAGTCCCGACGGCCGGGAAATAAGGCGCTTTTGATGGAACCGAAGTGAAACATAAAACTTCTGACGACCATTAGACCACCTCTGACAGCCCATCAAGAGTGTCCAACAGACCATTAGGCGCCGTCAGGAACTTCTGACGGACCATCTAAACGCATCTGATGGTCCATCAGGACAGTCGGATGGTGCGTCAAGAATGGGCTGATGGTTCATCAGACTTTCTTGATGGTCCATCAGACCTTCTTGATGGTCCATCAGACCTTCTTGATGGTCCATCAGACCTTCTTAATGGTGCATCAGGAAGCCTGATGCGCCATCAAAGAAGTCTAACGGTCCATCAGGACAGTGGGATGGTGCGTCAAGAATGGGCTGATGGTCCATCAGACTTTCTTGATGGTCCATCAGACCCTCTTGATGGTCCATCAGGAAGCCTGATGGGCCATCAAAGAAATCTAATGGTCCATCAGGAAAGTCAGATGGTCCGTCAGGAATGGGCTGATGGTCCATCAGGAGTGGGCTGATGGGCCATCAGACTTCTTTGATGGTCCATCAGGAAACCTGATGGACCATCAGAAAAGTCTGATGGACCATCAAGAAACTCTGATGGTCCATCAAGAAAACCTGATGGTCTTTTCGATCGGGCTGCCCCACTCTCTGAGCGTGGTTATGGGAGGGAGCGTGATAACGTGATTAAAGATAGATGTACAATTGGTTCACAAAGCCACCTTAATTTTCATTGTAATCCCAGCTTAGGGTTGACGAAGTACCGCCTGCGAAACAGACACACACGCAGAAAGTGGGGTCGCGTGAGTGAAGGCCTATTGACGCGGTAGAGCCTGGGAGACGGTGGCAACGGTCTCCTCAATTTCCAACACGCGCAACCGCGAGCTGCAGTCAGAGACATGCTCTTCGCAATTAATGAAAGTTTTTTTGTTGTTTTTTTCGGACAAAAGAGCTTTTTTTTATTTCAGGGCGAAAAATGGCAAGATCAACATGAGCATCTGAGGGTACCGTCGTGTTCATTTTTGAGTTGTTTGCGGGTATTTTATTGCCCAGCCGATTGCTTTTATTGGGCGAAGCGGCTGGGAATCTCCGCCATCCATGGTACTCCAGCTGGAACCGGCAAGAACGGTGATTTTAGAGCTCCAATCACCAGAAGCGCATTTCGTCATAATACAATGTGAGATCTTCAACATCCTAATTGCCCAGACCATGGATATTCTCTCGGCAGCGCATAGACACCGGCGATATTGCCGCGCGCGCAGCGAGCCAAGTAGGCAGCGCGCGCGTGGCCTAACGGTTATCCTACCTTTCTCACGCGAAAAGGCAGAGTTCGATTCCTGGGGCGACGTGTCTTTTGTTTATCCCTGCAACTTAGTGTTCTGGTAATCTCGAGAATCCCGGTGCTTGTTCGAGGTCTGATTGTTCTATGCGTCGAACTTTCTACGCCGATTATTCCAGAAGCCCCATCGTGTACATAAGGGGGCTTCGCGTTATCGAGCCAGAGTCAGTTTTCGCCCCAGCGTTCGACTCTGCTCTTCCACCGACTTCGACGCCCGCGACGCTCTGCTCTAATCTTGTTTCCCTTTTTTTTTTGTTTATTTTTGGGCACAAGTTCGCCCCTATTAAACTTTTCACTTTCCCCAGTTATTTGTTTCACCTAGTCATTCGTGCCAATATTCCGTTATTGTGGGCATATATGTTGCCACTAGATTACACGGATGAAAAAGACATGTCGAACCCCATTATGTTCCATGTGACTGACAAGGGAATCACCTCTTCACCATCGGGGAAAGGTGTTCTTGCTACGCAATGTACGTTTTGTTATGATCCAATAAGTTTGGACCGCGTCAAATTCTGGGCCAGAAATCTCCGATCAGTCAAGCGTTTAATCCAAAGCGATCGGCCTGAAAATCCCAGTAAAACGCTTTTTTTGTTGTTGTTGTTGTTGTTTTTTTGGGGGGGTTTTGGTTTTTGTTAAATTAGAGCGCAGCGTGCAGGCTTTCGTCTCCGGCTAGAGCGGCGTCAGGGTCGCCGTCGCCGTCGGCGTAAACGTAACCCGTCGCCGTCGCTGTCACCGTTGTCGTAACCGCGGGGTGCATTATGCAAAATGTCCCATAATGCGACGCGGTGACGCGCGCGTTACATTATGAAACGTTTCCCATAATGCTCCGCATGGGAGGGAAGAGGGAGGAGGGGGAGGCAGAAGAGGAGGAGGGGAGGGGGAGGGGAAGAAGGAGGGGGAGAAGGAGACGGAGGAAGGAGGAGGGGGAGAGAGGAGGAGGGAGGAGCAGGAGAAAGAGGGAGGAAAAGAAAAAAAAAGGGAGGATGAGGAGAATTGGGGGAACGCGAGGAGCATGGGAGGAGTCGATGACGACGGAGTAGGAGAGGGTAAGGATGGGGAGGAGGGGGAGGAGGGGCACACCATCTCCTCCGTACCCTCCCCTCCACCTCCTCAAGAGCTGCGCTCTAATTCGGCATTACAGGGGGTTGTGAATGTCGTTTATTTTCCAATAGACTGTACGATACCTTCTGATTAGTTTTTTTGGAGTTATACATTTTGTATATTTTATTTTTCCTGATAAAATATGGCTGTATTCTCCGCGGGCGATATCTGCTGTAGTAATGTCCTCAGAGTATGCTTAAAGTCAAATGCTACAGAAACGTTGAGTAGTCGTTGTTTGCCAAGATTAGGTTTTGTTGGGTGGGACTGGGAGTGGAGTGTCAGTTACGCCGCCGCGGTTTGTGAGTGTATTTGCGGTAATCGTATTTACTCCACTAGCTTCTTTATGTGCGCGATTTATTTTAAATAATTGATTGATTCAACCCTAGTAAAAAAAGAGAACAGCTTAAGTTGGTCACAGCTTCAAGCTTCGGTATTGCTCCAGCAAGCCCAGTTTGGCATATTAGTTGATATGGTCATAGTGGTCATGATGGTTGATATTGTCATATCTTTAAGCTGAGCTATTGCCCCAGCATGCCCAGCTTGGCATGCTGGTTAAGGCCGTGGGTTTTCCCACCTTAATACGTTTAAATGGAAACACAGGATAAACAAGTCAAACTCTTTAGAAAAACCAGCTCGGCATCGAATTTATTATTTTCGTGCTCCCGGCCTGCTCATATGAGCTCATATGCTACACATCCTCGGCGCTGACACAGTACTAACTGATGCAGACAGTGGTTCTCGCTGCATAACAAACAATTTAATTAAATCTAGAGTGCTTATCTCTCAACGCAAAAAACACTAGACACGGGTCAAAAACAGGAAATAACAATAAAATGCTACACGAATGAGAGAAGTGATCCTGGGTCCCACCAGTAAAGGGGGCGAAGCGTACTCGGCAGAAGCGAGGAAATCCGTGTGGCTTGAATGGCATTGGCGATACTCCTCGGCACCACCGTCATTCAGAAGCACACACATGTTCGAGGACATAAAATGACGCCTCAGTCGACGAGTCTGACTTCTCCGTGCGCTGGCCAGACTACCGCTCGCTGTCTCCATGAATACCGCTTCGCTTGCACCGCCGTTCAAGTTGTCTCCAAACAACGCGTACACCGCCGTCCCTTTGAATATCTGCCCAAGATAGCCAAACGTGTCTCAATTTCTCCGTTCTTACCACTCTATCTCTCTCTTCTTGTACACAAAAAAAGCTCGCAGCGCGCCTGAAACGCCCGGCTGTCTACCGAAAACGAGAG